AAACAGATTAATCCACTATCTCCTTCACCATTCTGTATCTGTTGATCTTGAAATTTTCCTTAAAATATTGTCAGGACAAGGACTAAGTATAAGATCTCATTATGTCTACATAATATTTAGTATACTGTCCCAAACAAGCTAGCTATATACTTAACAAGTGTTTGCTTTATGAAGAAACCATTCCACCATTAGTTTTTAGTACTTAGTTTTTAGATTTAGAGAATGAGTAAGAAGGAAAGACTCATAAGATTATGAAATGATAAACAGAACCTAGATCCTAAAGCTCTAATATAGAATAGAAATGTTGTTGTGTGCTTTGGAGTTAGTCTTTACTCATAGCAGCCCTGTAGAGGATTTCCAAGAAGCACCTGGTGGGTTTGAACCTCTGACCATGTGGTAAGTAGTCCTGTGCTTATCCCACAGTGCTACACCAGGACTCCAAGAACAGAAATAGCCAGGTTTATTTGTATACTTTTTACTTTATTGGATGTTGTCCATTTTTGAGTTATGAACTTTTCAAACCTAAGTAATCCAAATGAGTGATTGCCAACCTGAGCAAGCCAGTAGTCATGAGTTCTTTCAAGGAAGTCCCTGTATCCAGATGTAAAATAGATGGTTGCTTACAGATGTTTCCTGATAAGAGCTCTGATAGCATAGTGTTTACAAGCCCAGCTGCTGACTTCAGGGTCACTGATTCAAAACTACTAGTTGTTCCACAGGAGAAATGAGGCATTCCGCTGTAAAGATTTACAACCTTGGAAACCCTATGCAGGGTTGCTATGAGTAGGAACCGACTCCACAACATATAACCACCACCACCACCATAGATTTTCCCAGGGCAATAGCCAAAGATATGTCTTCAACATAGAGGTATGTCTGGTTTCAGATAATTTAGGTACTTTCATAATTAAGGAACCCTGCTAGTATACTGATTAAGTGCTTGACTACTAACTGGAAAGTCAGTGGTTTAAATCCACTAGTGATTTGACCCCATAATATTCTCTGCTAAAAATTACAGCCTAGAAAACTCTATGGGGAATTTCTACTCTGTCCTGTAGGGTTGATGGATTGGAAGAAGACACTCAACAAAACCCTTCATGATTATTAAAATGAAGACATATTGACAAGCATTCAGAACTTATAGGAGCTGGTGGCACAGTGATGAATACTCAGCAGTTAACTCAAAGATTAGCAGTTTGAACCCATCAGTTGCTCCTCAGAAGAAGATGTGGTAGGCAGTTTGCTGCAAGAACCATTTACAACATTGGCAACCCTATTGGTGGCTCAGCTTAATTCTCTGGGGTTGGAATTGACTTGATAACAATTATTTTATTTTATTTTTTTGTTTTATTTACAATTTCTATCTATTCTTGGAGCCCTGGTGTAGTGCTGGTGGATAAGCACTGGACCACAAGTCAGTTTGAACCTGAGGTCAGTGTTCAAACTCACCAGCTGCTCCTTGGAAACCCTATAAAGGGTCACTATGAGTCAGAACTGACTCAATGGCACTTAACAACATCTATGTTTATTTCAAATTTGGGGATTTATTTCCACATGGTTTAACATGTGCTTTATTATTGTTATATTAAGACATAGAAAACAATGTTTTTCAGATAAATGTTGCCAGGAGAAAAAGGAGGAAATCCTGGGAAGTGAAAAGCCCACCGGACGCAATCCCAGACAAGGAAAACTGGATGTGCAAAGTCAAGACCAAACTAACTCCCACCCTGTGTTTCCTGAATCTGCCAAGATGACCACCCTGTAAGGCTAATTTACTTAGCTCTGCACTTGTGCAGAGCGTGAGACAATCTCATTTACTGGTTGCTTCTTTTGAAACTTTATTAAGGATAAGGAAGAGGTCCTAATTGTTTTTGAAACTTTTGTATGTTAAGTTTCCAGGGTAATAGACAGAGACAGATCATCTACAGAGTAACGTCCCAACAAGATAGTTCTGTCTTGCAAGTCATCAGTGGGCCTGAAACATCTGTGCAAGATGAAACATCTGTGGATGCCATGCATGTCTTCATCGATGAACATGGTAAGTCCTGCAAGCTCTTGGGCCATGGGGAATATTGGTGGCTTTTCCAGAACTTGTCATCGTCTCTTAGCCTAAACACTAGACTTTGGAGCAGGAAGTCTTGGACATATGATGGCTCACAGAATGCTCTTCGAACCTCTGGATCTTTGTATGTGCCATGTCCCTATGTCAATTCTGAATTAAAACTTTTTTTGAACTTCTTAGACTTGGTCAGGTTCCTCTATTAACACATCCTTTTCATTTTCTTCTTTGATTTCATTAAACTTATTTGTGTATTTATAATTATTTGATTGGACTCCTGGTGTGATGGCACTTAACAGCAACAACAACAATCATTTGATTAACCACAATGTTCAGCACCCAGTAGGAGCCCTGGTGGAACTATAGGATAACCACAAGGTTGGCAATTCAAACCCACCAGCAACTCTGTGTGAGTCAGGAGAATTTTTTTGCCCCATGAGGACTTATAGCCTCAGAAATCCTATACAGGGTTTCTATGAATTGAGACTGACTTGTTAACAGTAAGTTTTATATAGGTTTTATAGGCGTTCTGGTGTAGTGCTGTGATATAAAGCACTTAACCACAGGGTTGGTGGTTCAAATTCACCAGCCACTCCTTGGAAACCTATACAGGCTCACTATGAGTCAGAATTAACTTGTTAGCAGTGAATTTTATACAGGTTTTGTAGATGAAAAACTTGACCTTGATATATCATTTCACTGCCTTGTTATAAAATAAAAGATTAAAGCCTTGGAAATCCTATGGTTAGTTCTACTGTGAAGGCTCCTGGTGACACAGTGGCTAAATGCTTAGCTGCTAACTGACATGTCAGTGGTTCAAACCCACCAGCTATTCTGTGGGATGAAAACAAAGCAGTCTGCTTCCATAAAGATTAACAGTCTTCAAAACTCTTATGGGGGCATTTCTACTCTCTCCCATAGGATCACTATGAGTTGGACTCAGTAACAACCAGTTTGGTTAGGGTTTGGAATATGCAAATCAGTAGTTTATAGTTTTAAGTGCTTTTGAATCTGTAGAAATACTAAGAGATTGGTTATTCTGAAAGAGACTTCTATGTTATAAAGAAAACCATTAGCACGTATATCAAATCCTCTAGCAGGACTCTTTCCTCTTCAAGCTTTTCTGGATGTAGTTGTAATTTGCAATGTTTCACTTTTGATGGAGTTAGCCTTTGAGTTCAGACCCAGCACTTCAATCCACATTTTACTGTTGTTGTTGAGAAGTGCCGTTGAGTCAGTTCCGACTCATAGCACCCCTGTATAGGGCTTTTAAGGAGTGTCTGGTGAGCTTGAACTTCTGACCTTGTGGTTCAAACCAGCCTTGCAATCCAGCACATTAACCCACAGTGCCACACCAGGACTCTCACAGGGAAGCCATATTTATCCTTGAAGAATGAGGAGGTGCGTTACAGTGATGGAAGCAAATTCCTCAATGCAACTTTCCTCAATTTTTCTCACCAAGGCAATTTTCAGTTTTCTTAAAACTTCTTCCTAATAAGCCCCTATGATTGTCCTGTGTCCTTGGAGAAAACCTATCAAGATTGCTCCTTTGGAATCCCAATAAACAGTCACCATAACCTTCTAAGTTGATTTCTCAGCCTTACATTTAACTGGCTCAGCATATCACCTGAGAAGCCACCATTCTGAATAGACCATTTTTTGGAAGGTGCCCTAATGAGACTGTGTTGTATTGCGAGGACTTGTCTGCAGCCATTCACTGATCACGGAGACATGCTTAAATGCCTTTGGAATAAACTTATGTATGGATGAACTGGAACCTCAGGAGCAATACTTTTTGGCTTACCCTTATTTAAAAAGTGAATGAAGAGAAATTGCAAATCAATCAAGTTATAGAATTAATTAAGTAACACATAACCAAGTCAAAATGTATCTAAGTATATTATCAGTGAGGTATATCTAGAATATTTTCTTTGTGAGGTTTATTTCAGACTTCCATGTTCTTCTCATGGTACAAATGTATGTTCCTCATGGTCCAAAATTAGTTCTTTCTAACTTGGAAATATCATTAGTTGAAAGTACAAATAATTGTGTAGCATCCTATGCTGAATTTTTATTTTTATATTTTTATTTTATAGGTGACATTAGATCCTGTTATTTAAAATCTGGAAATCAGAAAGAAGGACCTTTGCAACATCAGCTGTCAAATTATGACTGTTTTTCTCATACTCGGTAAGAGGAAATTTATTTTTAGGTTTGAGAGCTGTTACATGGCTGGGGAACACGCAATTTATTCTAACTGAAAATGATGTGGGAGATCCTGAAGAATGAATGTGTTAATCTTCTTGGAGGTGTCAAGGCCCATGGTTTGATGGGAAAAAAAAGAAAATCTGATATTGTAGTATAAGGGAAAATAAACATAACTTTGTTATAGTAGCCACTTCCAAAAATGAACATAATTGTTGTTGTTAAGTGCCGTCGAGTCAATTCTGACTCTTAGCAACTCTGCATAGGGTTTCCAAGGGATGACTAGTGAGTTTGAACCTCTGACCTTGTGGTTCAAACCAAACTTATGGTCGAGTGCTTGTCCTACAGCGCCCCATTGTAATTAAAGAAAAATCCTGTGTAAGCATGGTAATATTCATAATCAGAAAAGCTGAGGACATAGCTTGAGAAACATTATTAGATTTTTTCAAATAGATGGGATGGAAATGTAGTTAGTTCTCATTCACATGGATGAAGGCAGGCTGTCTGTAGATACACTATCTAAACAGATTTCCTTTTTTACTTTAGAATATATTGAGTAACTTTAATTGTTTTAATTAAGTTGATATTAAATAAGCTTGTATATTCTGAACCTACATTAATTATTGTCAATGTTAAATAAACTGAAAATCTTAGTATTAGGCTGGATACAGAGTTAAAAGATTCTTTGAAGATAATGTACATAAACATGTGTCAGTTGTTTGCTATAAATATGTTGTTGTTTGTTGTTAAGTGCCACAGAGTCATAGCGACTCTGACTTCCAATTAATAGCGACCCTGTTTAGGGTATCCAAGGAGCATCTGGTGGGTTTGAACTGTCAACTTTGTGGTTAGCAGTCCAGTACTCATCCGACAGCGCTACACCAGGACTCCACTTTAATATATAAGTAAAATTTTCATCTTTTTCATTAGGATTGTACGTAAGGTTAACATTTCTCAAGAAACTGTGATATAACTGGAATGTCTTGGACTTTACACATAGAGAGTATAAAAGGAGTTGTACTATTTTTTGTTGCTGTAGAATCAGCTGTGACTCATGGTAGCCCATGTACAACTGACTCATGGTGGCCCCACATATAATAGAATGAACTGTTGACCAGTCCTACACCTCTTTCACACCTGTTGGCATTCTTGAGTCCATTGCAGGTATTATAGCTTTAAAAAAAATTATTATGAATTTAATGAAGGTCTACAAACAAGATCATTAGTTTTACATTCAACAAATCATATACTTTGTTACATCGTAATGATTGCAGTCCCTTCCTTGTAACAAAAGAAATCTCACTTCCTACCTGTGGATCCTATTTCCATTCCACCCATCTTCCCATCCTTTCTCAACTTTGTCCTTAGGTAAGTGTTACCCTTTTAATTTTGAATGGTAAGCATACCTTACTAGTGTTGTTGTCTCCCTATATACCTATTTATTGCTTGGCTGAAAATTGGGCCATGAGGATGGTATCTTTTCCAGACTGAAGGGTTGCTGAGGGTTATAGTCTCAGTTTCCTCAAGTCTTTTTCTGACCACTATGCCTGGTATTTAAAATAATAATAATAATTTTGAGTTTTGTTGCACATTTTTTCCTATTCTATGTGGGTCCTTCCAGTGAGATCCTTTGTAGAGAAGTTGGTTGTTGTTGTTGTTTTTATGTGCCGAGGAGTTGGTTCCGACTCATAGCGACCCTGTACAGGGTTTCCGAGGCTGTAAATCTTTACGGGAGCAGAAAGCCTCATCTTTCTCTCGCGGAGCAGCTGGTAGTTTCGAACCACTGACCTTAAGATTCACAGCCAATTTATAACGTTGGTAATGGTAGCCAAACACCGTCAAGTTCTTCTGGTGTCAGGATTGTGGAGACTGGTGTTCTCAAGTTCCATCGGTGTGTTAGACACATTGATTTCAAGCCTTTTCAGTTCTCCTCATTCTTCTTTCTTCTGCACACAGAAAGACCAATAACTGCTTCTTACATGGCAGCTCATGCACTTTCAAGATCCCAGACACTACTCATCAAAGTAGGTTGTAGAACATTGTCCCTGTGGATTATGTTCTGCCAATTGGCCATGATGTCCCCTGACACTGTTGTTCTGAGCCCTCAGGCCCAGCAACTCATTGCCTTAAAATATTTGATCATATCTAAGAAGTTTTCATCATTTTGCCCACTCTATGCCCCACCACATTCATAGTTGTGTTTTCTGGAAAGGTGAATAACATACAAATATCTTCTTTAAAACTAACTCTTTTATTTGTGGGATATATGGTGGTGGTGGTTATGTGCCGTGGAGTCGGTTCCAACTCATAGTGACCCTGTACGGAGTTTCGGAGGCTATAAATCTCTACAGAAGCAGAAAGCCTCATCTTTCTCTCACTTTCCTTGTGAGCATTATATATTGCCTTTTAACCTAGGGGAGTGATTTTCCAGCTTATAATGGACAATAAGTAGCACAATGGCTAAGTTCTCAATTGCTACCCAAAAAGGTTGGTGGTTTGGATCCACCAGAAGAAAAATCCTGCAAATCTGTTCTCATGAAGGTAACAGCCTAGAAAACCCTACTCTGCCCTGTAGAATTGCCATGAATCATAACCAACTGGATGGCATCTAACAACAATCCAGTGAACAGTATTCTGTTGTGATCAGTAGGGTTTCATTGCTTGATTTTTGGAGGTAGATCACCAGGCCTCTCTGCCTAGTCTCTATTAGTCTGCAAACTCCCCTAAAACTGGTGGTATGGCTTCTGGTATCAAACCAACAGGCAGCTATGACAAACGGACAGGTAGTGGAAAAGATTATTGTTATTGTTGTTGAGGGCCATCGAGTTGGTTCTGATGCATAACGACCCTGTATAGGGTTTCAAAGGAGCGGCTGGTAAGTGTGAACCGCCGACCTTGTGGTTCAAACTAGGACTTGGAAAAGGAATTATAAGAACATTAATTATAAATCCTGTGGTCCTTTGGCCTTCTTCTAGCTCAAAATTTCCTTCCCAGGCATTTATGGGAAATTCAAGGGGCGCTTCCTACATAGAATAGAATCTATGCTTCCTAGCATAGAATCTTTCTTGTTCCTTATAATAAGACTTCAACGTGGAAATCTGCAAAGTGCCAGCCTTTCGGGGCATCTCTTGCCACTGTCATACAGATGTCAGTGTTTGGGGATATCCAGGAGTCCCTCCCCTTCATACAAGCTCCATTGGACATGGGCTCTGAGGCAGCCAGGATCCTTCTTCGCTCAGCTTCCCTCCACCGCCACCAGCTTCCTTAGACACCCAGACACCAAGAGAACACAAACAGAAGACACAATACTTCCCTCTCCAGCCACAAATCAAAGTCCCCCTATAAATGGAATTCTAGGAGGGGAGGAATCTCATCTCCAACGTCCCACAATATTCTATCACAATCATTTCATGAGCTTAGATGTCTACAATGACACATTTCTCAGACACGATGCTTAACTGCATGAGCAACAATCTGTGAACAATGTCAAATTATTTTGCAATCTCTAGTTGAAAGCTGTAGTATTTTTAACCTAAATTTAGCATAAATGAAAGCCTCCTCTTTTATTCTAAAGTAGTGTTCCAAGTGTACTTTATTCTTATATTCCTGGGTAAATGTACTTCATGTTTTCCCTCATAAATAGCTACACTCATCAGGGATTCCAGTTAAGATGAAGTCACACATGCAGTTTTAAAAATCTAAAAATATACAATGTGCAAATAAGGATTAAAGAGAATGCATATCAGATTTTCTCTAAAACCCTGCTGTTTTAAACCATTCTTCATTCACTAAGAGCCACTGATTAACTGGCTTTCATCTCTCAATTACTCTCTCTTTATTACATTTCCTCCAAGTCTGATTTTTTCTCATTTCCTCTGCATTTCCTTTCCATATTTTAGCTCATTTACGTTCAGCTTGCTTTAGCCTGGACTTAGTTTTGCCATGCTGCATTTCCTCTTAGTGAAATAGCTTCTGGAGAAAAGGCCAGGCTGTGGCACTGCTGAGGTATTGGTGGATTCTGCGTGTGTTTACGCTGAGCTTGCTGATGGGCCATGTGGTTTTATACAGTTTCAAGATGTCAGGCCTTTTCTGGCTCTGTTTTTTCATGGCCATCAAATGGGTTGGCCCATTGCTGAGTAGTAGTCAGAGAGTCTTTTGGCCCCAAGCCCCCAAAGGGTCTTGTTTTGCTCCTCTCCCCAGGCCCACACTAGCATGTCTCAACCTTTCATCCTGAGCCATTTGTGCCACTTTGCCTAGAAAGCTCTTCTGTACTCCTTCCTACCTCTTGAAACTAGTACCTTTCAAAGTTCAATTTAAAATCTGCTTCTTTTCCTTTTTGATCCTTATAGTGAAAACAGATCTCTTGGTTTTCTCTGGAAGAGCACTTATCCCTTTCTCATTGATACCCTATGTAGTTTCGGAAGATTCCCGTTTCATCCTAAAGAAAAATGAGCCTGACTATCACTTTCCGTTTGCTGTTGAGTCAGTCCAGACTTACGGCAACCTCATTTATATCAGGGGAGAACTGTGCTCTGCATGGTTTGCAACTGCCGTTGTTTGGGAAGCCAGTTCCTGGGCCTGTCTTTTGAAATACCTGTGAGTAGACTCAAACTCTCATAAGTCTTTGATTTAGCAGCCAAGCACTTAACTGTTTGCACCACACAGGGGCTCTATGACTAGCCCTCACTTTTCCCTGTAGATCCCAATAACTCTTTTTTTTTTTTT